CCGGGCTCGGGGCACCTGCTGCACCTTCGCGCGGCAGGTCCTTGCGGGGGGGGCGATCCTAAGCCCTCCGCGTCGGCCCCCCCAGGCCCCTTCTTCTGCTCCTCCTGCTTGGCCTGGGGCGCCCCCCACTCCACGGCACCCCGTGGCTGGGCTCCGCAGCGTTGCAGGACAGACCCCAGGAGGTCCCTGCCCTGGGCCTGGAAGGCAGGCGAGGGGTCTAAGGAGCCTCTGGCTGCAGGGCGCTGCGGTCCACTCAGCGGTGGGCGGGTGAGGCCCTGCAGGAGGGGATGGGCTCAGCCTGACCTAACGGGGCAGCCAGGCTCCCCTTCCGCTGTAGGCCTAGGATCGGAGACCCCCTCCCGGCCTGGCCACTCAGGCTAGCCTACGCTGCAGGGCAGTTCTTGAAGAGTAGATGCTGTAAACCCTTCTGCCATGGGGAACTCCTGATGCGGGCCAGTCGGTGGCTGAGACACAGACACCCAAGGGTGCCCAGCAGATAACGCTACAGCTAGTAGTGTGGATCGCCCTAAAGACTGGCGAAGAAGGCCGGCCTGGGCATTGGGTGAGTGAAGCGCTGGCCTCAGGCGCTCGCTCTGGGCTCTCAGAAGAGGGGTCACTCCATCCTCCTGCAGGCGCTGGGGGGCACTCTGCCCAGTGTTCCAAAAGGGCGGCATTGCCCTTGAGTCCCCCTGGCCTTGAAGGGAGGCTGGTGGTGCCACAGCCTTGACCACCAGTAACATGTGGGCAGTGGGTGGGCGGGGAAGGGGAGGGGAGGGAGCTGCTGCCCCCCTTGTGCACGACCACAGGAATTCAGCAGACTGCTCACCCCGGACCGGGAGCATTCAGAGTCCAACTTGACCTCCTTGACAAGTTCTTTCCCAGAGTAACCAAGTCCCCCAGCGGGTAGGCCTCACCCAGGGATGGCACGTGGCAGCTGCTGCCCTGGGAGGTGGCAGCTGCCACTGGGATTGCAACGGCTGGACAGGAGCCACTTGGCCTTGGGAGAAACTACCGGGCAGGGCTAAATTTGAACCAGGCCATGGCTCAGAATCCAGTATCAAGCACTAGGCCCCAGAAGGCCCTGACTGCGGTGGTCCAACACTCCACCGGCATCCTGAGGCTGAGGAAAGCCGCTGGCCCTGTGGGGCTCAAGGTCTCCCTGAGCCTTTGTCCCCCTGCCCCTATTTCCCAAGCGCCTGGGTCTGAACAGAGGGGAGGGTCCCTCCTGGCGCCTTCCCAGCTCTCGTTGCTGCCACCCAGGCAGTGGGCGAAGGCCAAGGGAGGAACATCTCTGGGCAGAAGCACTCCTAATAGGGGCACTGGCTGGCAGGGTGCCCGTGACAGGAGCCAGACCCCAAGCATCCTGAGAAGCCTCTGAGGCCCTGGGTGGGGTGGGGAGGCCCTCTGGGGCAAGGAGATAGTCACGCAAGACCAGCTCCAGCCAGGGTTATCTGGGCAGGCTGCGGGCAGAGGTTTAATGGCAGGTCCATTCACAAGCTGGCTTTAAGTGGCTGAGCCCCACGAGCATCTTCCACCTGAGGGGGCACCTGCCCATCTCTGCAATTCCAGAATTATACGCATGCCAGGCTCGGCTGGCCGAGATCCTTGCAAGCTCCTGTGCTGGGGGAGCATCTAGGCCAAACTGAAGCCGCCCTGCCCTGCTTTCTTGGCAGGCAAAGCCCTGGCAGAGCCCTCCGGGAGGGAGGCGGGAGGTCTGCTTGTTGGAGCGGCCTCCTCCACCCACCCCAGCCCGTGTGGCGTCTGGCTTCCTTCACGTGGGGACAGCAGGATAGGGGCAGCTCTGGAAAGGGAAGGGAGAAGTCCGTGTCCCTCCTTGCCATGGCGTGCCGTCCAGCCCCCTCCCTCGCTGGCCATCGCTTTGGGGGAAGCAAGAATTAGCTGCCTGAGGAAGAGCGAGCTGACCGGAGAGCAACTAACAGCAGCAGAGGCACCACTGGTGGGGAGGGAGCACTTGCCCTGGCTAAAGGCCCCCGCTGGGACTGCACACTGCCTGGGACCCCCTGGGAGTCTGGAATGGGATGAAAGGAGGTGGAGAAAGAGGCATTTCGGGTTTTTTTACAAAAGCGAAATCTCAGAGGATCTGGAAGAGAGCGTGGAAGAGCCCAAAGCATCCCAGCCTCTGTCCAAACACCTGGTGGAGGAGAATCCACCGTCTCCCTCCGCTCTTGGCCTCTCGGAGTCCCAGCCAGAGCCTGCCCTCCTGCATCGTGAGACCACATTCCTGGTCCTGCCTGGAGGGAAGGAGAGGACATGGGTGAGCCCCTTCCGAGCACTTCCGTCACCACAAAGCGGACACATCTTTTTCCCTCTGATCACGATCGCATTCTGGGGTACTGAATCCTGAGCCACGTCTGAGCCCCCGGGGAAGGGGCTGCTGGTCCTCACTAACCCGCCCGGCCCCGCAGCCTCTTTCACTGCTCTGGTCAGAGAGCTGATGGGCTCCTCTACGCAACTGCTTGCTGCAGAATGAAGATGCCTCGCTAGCAGTTTTGGGGGGGCGGGGAGAAGCACATAACCTGCCCCAGCTTGGCAGCCTGTCTTTCCTTGCTCTGCATCAAGTGTTTTCCAACGTCTGCCAGCAGAGGTGCTGCTGGGTGTTCTGTGCGCGATGCTTCATTGTGCGTGGGCCGCACCTCCTCCCCTATGGGCTGTGGACTCTGCTCCCTGGTAGCCGCCCTCCATGGCCATTTCAATCTGTGCCTGCTCCCCTTCAGAAGACCTTCTGCTTTGAAGCCCAACTGAGCTTTACTTTGCAGGGTACCTCCTGGCCTTACAGGGGTCCTGATATGCCTGAAACACCAGGACAGGTTTCTGCAAGGCGAGGCACCAGTGTGTTCCTGAACAGTTCAAGGCCTTCAGCTGTGGGAGCAGGCAATGGGGCAGCTGCTTTACCCACTTCCCCACCTGTCGTCCTACACGTCATTGCGGTGAGGTGGCGGTGCCATTTTGCCTCCTCTGACGCCAAGGGATTCTCCCGGGCGCTGGGGCCATTTACTGCTGCAGTTTGGGCACTGGGCAGCTGGCAGAGCCCACAAGAATTCTGCCTGCTCTTCCTTCTGAACCAGGGCCAAGTGCTCCCCCAGGAGCTGCAGTGCTGGGAAAAGAAATGGGGAAGGGATGCATGAAAATGGGGTGGAACTCAAAGCAAGGGGAAGGCAACAGGTGCAGATGGCGTCCCTGAAGAAATGGTGACAGACAAATGTGGTTTGGTATGGAGCAGCTGTGCAAGTGTGTAACGTGTGTTTGAAGGCCGCACACAGCTGCTCACCCCAAAAGGGATTAGGCCAAGGGGTGTGCACACCTCTATGCAGATGCAGCCAGATGCAGTGGGGCCAGTGGGCTCTCACCGCCTTGGGGACTCGGCTGCCAGTTGAACCCTCTTCCTTGGACCGGAGGAACCTGCAGCAGCAGTGAAGGGTGGGGTCTAGGCGAAGAGGGCATGGCCAGGCCACAACACTGGAGGGCTGGGGACTCCAGGTTCAAATCCTGACTTGAGGAGGGTGGAACCACCTGGCTGTCCTGACCAAGTCCAACCCACCTCGCAGGGTTGCTGTGAGGGTCAAGAGGGACAGATTCCATCGTGAGAAAAGGTGGGATAACTGAGAAGCAAGTCAAGAGCAACCTGTGGGTGCCCTTCCGCCCCCCTGTGATGTCCTGGGCATTCTGGATTGGCACATGCCAATGCACATGGAGACGGGCAAATAAGGGGCAGGAGGTGTCATGGAAGCCCCTTTTCGGGAGACAGCCAGGCAAAATGCACTATTGTCCCGAAAGCTAACTATGATCAATAGAAGAGAACTATGATCGATATTCAAAATACATGAGGAAAGCATATAGTGCTACCATTTCAAAATTTGCCAGAAGCAGCCAAAGTGGGTGAAACTAGGTTGTGGCCATGTGTGGGGCAAGATGCATTTGTACAGGTATACAAAGGGCATGCCCCGCCCACCCGTCACAAGTCCGTGTTGCTTAGTAACTGGTTTCGCAAGGCTCTGCTACCCTCTGGTGGACGCAGACGCTGGCAGCAAGAAGATCTGCCCCTTCCTAAAACAGCCAGGCTCTGGAGCAAGGCCTGCCCCGAGTCTGTTCCCACCCGGATGCCAACTTGAGGGGCAGATGCCAATGTAGCATGAACGCAGCCAGAGGCTCAGCTCAGCAATCTAGCCCGGGCAGACGTGGGCCGGTGGGTGGTTTTGCAGTTGAATGATCTCCACCTGTCCACCCTGTCCCCGTGATACCTGCGTCACTGTGCAGGGCAGCATCAAGTCACCGGCTAAGGGCTCTTCCACAAAGTTAAAAATGAAGACGGGACGAGCATTTTTAGCCGGGGGACTGCCTAATACCTGTGGGGACAAAATGACCTCGACAGGCTTGGACACCGGGCCAGGTCAACCGCGAGGCCTCGCAGAGGAAACAGCAGGTGGCACAGGGGCAAACCTAGGAGACCTGGCAGCGCACGTGAGAAGGCTCTAGGAGGGCCTCGTGAGAAGGATCCAGGTTCACGCCGCACGCGAGCGAGCAGGGCGGCAAAGCCAAAGCGCCGCGGCCAGGTCAGGGGAGCCGGCGGTTCCGCCGCACTCGAGGACGGTTCGGTCGCTCTTGCCCGGGTCTGGGCACCGGACGTGAGAGAGGCGAAGAGAAACCGGAGCCGGTGAGAGCTTCCAGGATGATCCGGAGCTTGAACGCCATCCCTGTAAGGAGGCGTCGAAGGAGCCGGGAGGCTT